CATAGGTAGAAAAAATAGCCTTAATAGGTGGAAAGGAAGGGTGTTATTTTGGAGGCAGGAAGTTGGGGGAGTTCCTTTCAAAGACTTCTGTTTTCTGTAAAGTTGGAGGTGAGGTCATTCTTGGAGGGAGGGGTGGGTGGGTCAGAGGTTTGTGGAGATTTGAAATGGCTGTTGTGGATAATGGGAAGCACTGGCTTAGCCTGGGCCCCTTTACAGGTGAAAAGGCAAAGGAATGAGCAAGGTGATGGGCCAAGAGCTACAGGATGGAGAAGGAAGAGATAAAGGCAGAAGGGACTTCAAAGGGAGAAAGGAGAAGGGCCCAAACACTTGAGTACAGAGAGCAATTGAGGAAAGGGCTGAGTGGGAGAAAGTTTGGGAAAAGGATGGGATGTCCAAATTCTGCTTGTCATTTTAAGTTCAACAAACAGTATCAGCTTAAAACAAAATTAAATATAATGCAATTTTTTTTGGTTTTGTTTTGTTTTTGGAGACAGGGTCTCCCACTGTTGCCCAGGCTGGAGTACAGTGGCATAATCACTGCTCACTGCAGCCTTGACCTCCCCAGGCTCAGGTGGTCCTCCCACCTCAGCCTCCTAAGTAGCTGGGAATACAGGCCTACCTATGCCACCATGCTCGGCTAATTTTCATATTTTTCGTTTTCTGTGGGGTTTTTGTTGTTGTTGTTGCTGTTGTTGTTTTTCTGAGACAGAGTCTTGCTCTGTCGCCCAGCCTGGAGTGCAGTGGCACAATCTCGGCTCACTGCAACCTCTGCCTCCCAGGTTTAAGTGTCTCAGACTCCTAAGTAGCTGGGATTACAGGCACGTGACACCATGCCCAGCTAACTTTTGTATTTTTAGTAGAGACGGGGTTTCATCATGATGGCCAGGATGGTCTCAATCTCCTGACCTTGTGATCCACCCATCTTGGCCTCCCAGAATGCTGGGATTACAGGCGTGAGCCACCATGCCCTGCCAATTAAATCTTTTTCTTTCTTTCTTTCTTTTTTTGAGTCAAAGTTTTGCTCTGGTTGCCCAAGCTGGAGTGCAACGGCGTGATCTTGGCTCACTGCAACCTCCACCTCCCAAGTTCAAGCAATTCTCTTGACTCAGCCTCTCGAGTAGCTGGGATTACAGGTGCCCACCACCATACCACTATGCCCAGCTAATTTTTGTATTTTTAGTAGAGGTGGGGTTTCACCATGTTGAAGGTTGGTCTTGAACTCCTGACCTCGAGAGATCTGCCCACCTCAGCCTCCCAAAGTGCAGGGATTACAAGCGTGAGGTACCGTGCCCAGCCCAATTAAATCTTAAAAAATTATTTTTAAGAGATGGAGTCTTGTTATATCGCCCTCCAACTCCTGGCCTAAAGCCGTCTTCCTGCCTCAGACTCCCAAGTAGGTGGGACACCAACTACTGTAGTATTGTACTCTTAATATAATATAAAAAGATAAGACAGAAAACTTACTTTAGTTCTGGGACTGTACACCACCATACCCAGCATTCTTTTTCTTCTTGGACTTCTGAGTTGGGCAGCTGCTTAGGTTTCTCTAACCACAAGTTGATATAAAAATTTTTTGTCTGTAACCCTAGCACTTTGTGAGGGTGAGGGGTGAGGAGTGCTTCAGGCTAGGAGTTCAAGACCAGCCTGGGCAACAGACTGAGACCCCATTTCTTTCTTTCTTATTCTTTTTTTTTTCTTTTTGAGACAGCATCTTGTTCTGACACCCAGACTGGAGTGCAGTGGCACAGTCATGCCTCACTGCAGCCTCGAAGTCTTAGGCTCAGGTGATCCTCTGCTTCAGTCTCCTGAGTAGCTGGGATTACAGGCATGAGCCGCCGTGCTTGGCCTAATTTTCTTTGTTTTGTAGAGATGGAGGTCTTGCTATGTTTCCCAGGCTGGTCTCGAACTCCTGGGCTCAAGCAATCGTGCCTTGGCCTCCCAGAGTGCTGGGATTACAGGTGTGAGCCTGTACAGTGCTGGGATTACAGGTGTGAGCCACTGCTGACTATCATGCTGCTTTTTAACAACAACAACAACAAATATATATATAATATATGTACATATGTATATTATATATTAATATATGTATATATATTTTGATTTATATTTATAAAAAAAAATATATATATATATATATGTGTACATATGTATATTATATATTAATATATGTATATATATTTTGATTTATATTTATATATACACATATATATACATACATAAGTGTACGTACATTATATATGTATATATGCACATACATAAGTGTACATACATTATATATGTATACACATATATGTTATATGTGTATATACACACATAATATGTATGTCTATACATGCATATATGTATATATGTAGGTGTATATAATATATACGTATGTACGTATATGTATACATATACGTACATACGTATATATTATATACACCTACATATACATTATGTTGTACATATATTATATGTATAATACATATATACATGTGTATTTTATGTATAACATATTATATGTGTGTATATATACATACATAACATATGTGTATATATACATATATACATATATAATGTATATACACACTTATGTATGTGTATATATGTAT